TTCCGATGCGCTTTCTTTTCAAATGCTCAATTATTTCAAAATTATCTATCTTATTATATCTATCTTGAATTTTAGAATTTAGAAATTAATATTCCCATTTTTAGCGTGCGTTAAATTTCTACATGACAAATATTAAAAAGGATAATTCCCACTTCTATTTCATATAAATATATAAGCATACGTATTCAAATAGTTCTTTATAAAATTAAAATATTTATGACTTCACTGTGTCAATGACCTTTAAGAATAAAATTTGAGTTTTACTTTTATTTATATATTAAGTACTGCATACATTATATACAGTGTCGAATAATAAGTCTGATATGTGATAATATCACGTATTTCATTTTACATTTTTTAATTAAACTAAAATTTGGAAAATTATAGTCGCTTTATGTCTGGAGGAGCAGCTCAATCTTAATACACTCCTCGTTCCAATAAAGTAAACGGCAAGGTTACTTGAAAAGTTGGTATTATTAGCAATAGATCACGATAATCCTTTGGCACCTCTGAAAAAAATATCCGTGAAAACCTCAAAAATATTATCAAGTCAATATTCTTGAGGCTTCCACGGGTGCTTTCTATATAAAGATTATGCGTTTCACGGATTTCCTCCGTGTCCAGATCCATTCTTGGAATACCAACGTTTCGTGAACCTTGCAGTCCACTTCATCAGGGCGAGAAGCAGCCTGATAGTATAGGAGTAAGATAAGTATCAGGCTGCTCTTCGCCTTGATGAAATGGACTGCAGGATTCACGAAACGTTGGCATACCAAGAATGAATCTGGACATGGAGGAAACCTGCGAAACGCATAATCTTTATATATTATCAAGTCAAGTTATATTTTATCAAATTTACAATAAAACAGATTTGCATCCATTGATAATAATGACCAATTGTATTTGAAATCAGGAAACACGAGACCGGTCTAAATCTTATACACATTTTACAATAAGCCATTAGTAATAAATCAGAAGTCAGAAGCTAAAAATTGACCAATCACAGTCATTTATTATTCTTCTTACATTTGACTGTGATTAGTCAATTTTTAGCTTCTGACTTTCGATTTATTATTAATGGTTTATTGTGAATAACCATTATACATATTAAATAAACACATATTACATATAAATAATAATTACTTGTTTCAAAACCGAAAAATCATTTCGGCGCGCAGTTTAAAAGACTACATACATATAAATTCACACAGAATTATATAAGCACTTAAGATCCAACTATTATAGACGTAATTAAAGGCATTTATTTCTATTGGTTGTGTTCTTGTTCTCACGGTCGGACGAGATTTAGTATTTAATAATATTATTTAATAATATTATTACTTTCAAATATTTTAAAAGTTCATATATACACAAATTTATAATAAATATATTACAAGTATTAAATTTACTCAAAATATATTCAGAATCCTAAGTTTCTTACATATACCTCGATTAAGATTAAATTGAACAAATTCAATTTGCTTGTTACATAAAATCGTTTCTTCGATCAACTTTGTAATATTCTTCAAAAAACAAAAATAAATTCTTTGAAGTACATAAAAATGAGTTTTTAAAAATTTGTAATAATTAATAAGTATATTTTAAGATTATTATCAAGAAAATATTTTTTGTTAAAGAAACAAAAATAATTGCAGTTATTATTTAAAAAGAAGAGAGTAAATAGGTGCGTAATCATAGATGCTTTTTTTAATAATAAAATGATACTTTTCAGTGTGTATAACGAAACATTTTTCCTGATACAACTTAATCGAGCACACACACACACACACCTTGGTATAATATAAGTTGATAACGATATTTATCCAATTATTACGGTATCAGTATTATCCATTTAAGTTTAAAATCCTGGTTTCATTAGCAAAATCTCAATATAGTCAGCAGCGACTCATAGAGTCGCGCTAAAATCTCGTCGTAAATCACAGAAAATAAAACATAATTGTCGCTTTCGCTTCCCTCGACCATGATCGTATCAACAAATACAACTTTGATTCGCATGGCTAAAATCGATCAATTCGAAAATTACGAAATTTCTCACTGTCATTCATATTTGGTTAGCACTGTTATTTTTCTTATTTCGTTTCCGAACGCGGAATCCGTGGTTATCCGATCGGAACAAAATTTATGCGTCCGTGAAAATTTCGCGAAATTTTTTACATATCGAATTCCGAAACAAAGACAATCAAGTTGAATCACGTTGGAGGGGAACGAACGGAATGGAAAATACGGATTATGTCCGATCGTGAATAGCACCGAGATGCTGCCGGTGCCTTCGGCAAATATCAAAACTCCAATACGAAATGAAAAGAAAACAATTTACCTGAAGCCGCGGTGAAAGCTAGTGAAAGCCTCCGGCGCGAGTCGATATCCTGGACCGCGTTGAAACAGATGCAAATTCAGACGTGAATTAGTATTCGTGTGCCAGAGCATAAGCGCATCCGCGATAGCCGGCAACCGACCGTTATAAAAGCCGCAACGAATGCGATCGATGCGGTTTTTAATCCGTTGGGTTAAAAGGATTATCACCTCGTCCCCGTTGACTTGACGAAATTTCCGATAGACCGACGACCGCGTTCGAAAACCGTCTCGATTGCGCTGATCTGAATATGTCGCGCTTCGCACGTCGTTTTGGCGCGCCAACTTCATGGTGGCGACATCCCGCGTTCCGCGTCGATACAGCAGAACAAGCAATGTTTCTGTCTTATCGACGGTCAAACCTTCCAATGGAATTGCTATTTTATTGATTTAAACCAACCCGATTGCACCAACGTTACTGTGATTTTAAGTGAGCCTAATGGCCGCAGCACAGACTCTTGCATAACGCATAATGCGTAGTGATCGAAATTCTTCTTTTTCATGGAATGAGAGGAAAGAAAAGATTCTGATTAGTTGATTCGCTTGTGCATTATGCGTTATGCGTTATGCGAAAGTCTGTGCTGCGGCTTACACGCATTCTACAATAAGCCATTAGTCATAAATCAGAAGCTAAAAATTGACCAATCACAATCGTCAAGAAACAATGAGGGAATAGCGATAGCGATAGGAATAACACGATTTTAACCTATCAGAAATCGGATATATCGGAATACACAATTTCTGTTGGGCTTAATAGCTTATTGTAGAAAGACCGTTAGGCAAGTCGAAACTGCATTCAACTTTTGCGCAATTCAACTTTTCACTAAATAGAGACTTTTTGCAATAACGTGAATATGATAAACGCTAAAGTCACGTTATCCTTTTCTTAATTAAATCTTGTTAAAAAGAAAATCTGACCTTAGCGTTCACCGTATCTGAATAAATGGTATTTCAAAAACTCCCTATTACAGGCCTACATTCCAAACGTTCTCTCTGAAAAAAATTTTACTCCATATAGATAACAGTTGCTTTTCATTTACACATAAGTGAAACTAAGTCTAAAATGAGTTGAGTATTTCATACAGATTATAAATACGGTGATATTTTTTAGAAAAAAATAAAGAACAAATCTGAAAATTTTAGGTCTTGTTTCTATATATTTTCAAACTAGTTTGTGACTGTCAAGAATCTGTGCATTATAAAATTGTATGACACAGTATAATCAAATTGAGATAATGCGCAGTTTTCTAATAGTTTGAAACTGGTTCGACTGTATTGAAACAAATTGTTGATCTTGATCTGAAGCACCAACGAGATACCATTAAAGATTCTCGGTCCTGGGCAAATTTTCGCGACTATCAAGGGTCCGGGGATAATTGAAAAACGATGACGTTACCGGCAATTAATAAAAATTTATGATTATTAACATAAATATTTCGATGATACGTTATTAAATTCGTGATTTTTTTATTACATAAAAGCTGTATATAAACAAGTCTGCATACTTTTAATAATACCATATATATTGCCAAAAAATTACAATTTTTCCTCTGCAGTTATTATTTTTATTGGCAATCTAACTCAGATGATGTCACATTATTAAAATCACAATTTTCAATAAAAATCGAGTATTATTAATCGAGTATTTTAATCATGTCTACAAAACTAATAAATTATAAAATTAGTACCGTATTACTATAGTTTATTGCTTTTAATTACTTAAATTTTAACAGGTACGCGAATTTCCATAAACGCCGAGGATCTTTAAAGCCAGTTCTACATTAATCGCAAGCTAATCGCAAGTTTGTTTGCGACAGCCAATATGGAGCGTTGATTTCAAAATGCAAGCTTCAGATTGGCTGTCGCAACAAACTTGCGATCGGCTTGTGTCTATGTAGAACCGGCTTTATGCAAGCTGAGTGGACTACATTGGTAATGTTAGACCGCGATCCAATTCACGCTTAAAAATTATTTCATCCTTGTTGTTTGTTAAATATTAAATGAAAACAAACGATGCTCATGAGTGTTGTCACCACGGCCTTAAAAATGGACGATTGCGATTCATTGGTTGCGTTCAACAGAACGTTTATTTTGCAACTGTTGGAAGTTTTCTTCCCATTGATTGGATTATATTTTTAGATCTAGAAGAATGATCTTATCTTACCAAAGAATCATAAAACGGTTACAAAACTGTTGTGTTCTGCTGAACGCAGTCATTGATTAGTTATTTTTTTTTAACTTTTAGAGGTGGCTTAAAAATACAAAACATAAATAATAAGGAAGCCCACAGTCACAACGCAAGATATCTTTAACGAAAGACATATATTTAAAAATTTTAATATAAAAAGTAGATGTTGAAAGCCGTTTTTAAACGCTTTAAGCATTTGTAATCATTATTCTGTCTGTATTGTTTATTAGACATAAAAGAAAGGCGCTGAAAGCGTTCGACTCAACCGCAATCTTTATTTGGAGTGCATTTATTTTATTTTCGTTTAATATGATGAACAAGGATAAAATGATGCATCCAGGGTGAAGTTCTGAACAATCACGTTTGCGTGAATCTCGTTCTACGTTCTATTCTACTTTTATTTATAATAATATCATGCTTGTATGATTATCTGCTTCTAGTCGGCATCAATCCATATCACAGTCGGCACAAGTCGGCATGGATGATGGAAGTCACTCGGCTTGTTTGTAGTTCTTGACTGTATTGACCTTCATTTGAAAACAGGTGCTATAAAAAAAAAGAAATTACAATGACGCATTCGCTGTTGCTATATTGTGCTACATATCTTTCAATATATCCTCACTTTAGCAATTTTAACATTACTGCTACATAATTACCTAACCTAACCTATATTCGTGAAAACTAATGATTTAACGTATTTATGTGATTTTATATTGATATTTAGGCAGCTGTGTATGACAATAAATAATGGCGTCAGGATTAGAGAGTTACGTGAATCGTATCCTTTTTATAATTTATTATTCAACTGAATTGTAACGAACGTAATAAATGTATTAACCCTTAACTGACTAATTTATCTAGATACAGTTTCCATTATCACATCGGATGGTAGGAATTTCATTGTGAGTACACAGATTATTCGCAAAATTATAAGAATTACGATTTACATACATAGTTTGTAATTGTTTTGTACTTTGCTCAGAAATATAATTACAATAGAATACAATCCTATGTTTACATTATTTTGTAATTTATGATTATTAAATTTAAATATTTTTATATTTATGCAACACACCTTTTGATATTAAAGTTTTATTCATTGATAGAATGTAATTATGCAGCTGAATTTTTTAAAATATGAAATATTTGGATAATATTATCGGATCATTCTAGTTTAGTGTCTTACAAATATTTCAAAAATAAAACTATAATTCTTTGAAAATGTTTCTTACGAATGTTTTATATTTCAAAACTTTAATTATATAATTGCATTCTGCTAAAAAATAAAATTTTAATATCAACAGTAGTATGTTGAAAAAAGTTATATGTTTAATATCCCTAATAATGATTCAGCTTCTTATCTTCATAAACCAAGTTTTTGTTTTAGGGTACTCTGAAAGGTTTTGATCAAACTATCAATCTAATTTTGGATGAATCACACGAGCGTGTATACAGTACGACACAGGGAGTGGAGCAGGTTGTCTTGGGTTTGCACATTATCAGAGGAGATAACGTGTCAGTATAGTTTCTTGAGATATAAACTGTATACACACAAAGTAGTTTTAATAATCATATTATAATAATTGTTCCTTTTATTATTACATCAGTATTTATTACTAGAAAAATATAGAAAAATAATTTCACTTTGCACTAACATTTATATGAAAATAAATATCTAACATAAATATTCATGAAGAATACACATTACTTATCATGGTGTACTTCTTTTTCAGAGCGATAGTAGGAGAGATAGACGACGAAATGGACGCGAGATTGGATCTATCAACAATACGAGCTGACCCCCTAAGTTCTATTACCCATTAAATGAATATATCTGAAATTGCAATTTGGAATCATCGTCTATTCTCATTTAAATTTAAAATAAGAACAATCGCAAGCATTATAAGAAAAAAAAGTAATACAACTTTTCAAATAGGTTGTATATTGTACAAAAATCTTCCATTTGTCATATGTAGACACATGTTTAGCATATAATAACTGTATTTTAAAAAGTGCACAGAGTTAATACAGCAGTATTTACATCATTGAAACAAACTTTCGTTTGAATCAACAATTCTCGTCTGTACAAAAATCTTGCTACATATAATGATAGTAAACTTTACAAATGTATTTTCTTTACAAATGTAATTTCGCTCTACGTTTATATAATGTAGCAATAATAATAAACAAAAGTGTATAGATTAACATCGATTAAGGTCTATAATTCAGTGAAAGTGTCAGTATCCTGTATCTATTCTTAGATTCATTTCAAAGAAGATACATATAACTAGAAATTTCTGCTTTTTTAAATCGCAATATTAAAGTTCAGACACGCAAGTCTGTACTACCAAAAAGAATTAGTAGAGGAGCTAAATAATTAATCTGCATCGGAAGTGTATGAAATTATAGAAATTACAAATTATATTATGATACTTCAATATATGATTTGCATGTTTCTAATCGAAGCATTTGGAATCTATATATATTCATATATCTTCTTTAAAGCGTAAAAAAGTACTAAGTTACATATTTTGTAAAATTGATATACATTAATTTTTTTACAAAATATTGCAGTTTATCTTAGAATCTCTACATCTCCATGACACGTAAAGTTGTACATGTCAATTTACGAATCGTGGATGTCAATCGTGAAAAGTAATAACACGTGTCTTACAGGTCGCAGGTATTCGCCTGCGATTCGCATGTCTTTTGTGGAAGACGTTAATTATCAATTCAATCATCTTTATCAACATTCACTTGACATTTTAGATGTTTGTTTATTTTCGATTAATTATTTCGGCGCGACTTACGTGTGCTAAGTGTCTTTTCGTAGAATCTATTTATTGTAAACGAATGGATACATATTTGTAATCGTCTATATATAAATATCTCCTATATTATGAACTTACATGTTTAATCAGTGTTCTTGAGAATTATGCAACGAATTATAAATAAAGAGTGATGGATCCGGTCTGAGTATTGGAATACATTGATTTTTATGTGGTATTCCAAAGGAAAATTGCACATATATGAGCATTGTGATATAGCTTCTCATTTATTATAATTTAAAATTTACGTACCATGAGCCATCGCTCGATAATCTATTCATAATCAAACGTTTGTTATATTATCAAATCTTTCTCTAGAGTAAATCTACAGATTTAATTTTATATAAATCAAAGATGTATGTATACATATTGATAATTATTAGTAAAGAATATTTATAAATATTTACATATTTTTATAGATTTGTAAGTTTATAGATTTGTAATAATAAATCTGTAGAATTACACAAGAAAGTAACTTGATATTTATCAATACATGAAAATAAATTGGAAAGACTTTAAAATATTCTTTTGAGTGTTACATGCACGCATATATACACACGCGAATTCTATCGCTTGTGAGAATTATAATGAAAGGTGTTCACAATCTATCTTCCCTAACATATCTTTTAATTGTTGGTCACCATATTGGTCCTACTGCGATTTCTTCGGCGAACACGGCCCCCGCGCTGCCTACTGCCCCAATCGTCACTATTCATCGGACCAAAATTGGGTCCATTTGATCCATTCGGACCGAACGGATCACTGCTACCGCCATTAGGTCCTCCAAAATTATTGAAATTACCACCGCAAGGATAAGGCGGCCCTCCCTCGTAATTATCCGGTCCGAAGGTACCGGGCCCAGGGCCCAATAGTCCAGCTCCATTATTACGCTGCGCGTTGAAACGTGGATCGAAATTCATCTGACCTTGGGGCGGCATCGGAACAGGTCCATTCATACCCATCGACGGACCATGTGGCATACCCATGGGCGGTATATTCTGCGGCGGCATCGGTCCAGCGTTCATCATAGGTCTCATTGGACCCATGTTACCCATGTTCATTGGATGGTTTGGACCCATTGGACCTATCATACTTTGAGGTGGACCCGGAATACCGCCAGGCAGTGGACCGCCAGGCATACCAGGTCTCACTTGCATGGCGGGACCAAGACCGATGTTGGATCCCATTGTCTCCATTGGCTGCATCCCTTTAGCCATCATTACAGCATTGGTCGCATTTTGCGAGGATTGTTGATTGGAAGCTGCTGCTTCAAGAGTTTTCCGTCGTGGATCTGAGCGAACACATTGCGGCGGTGATTTCGGTGTCTCCTGCTTCATTTGTGGTGGTGGTGACATTGGCGAGTCGGCTAGTTGCTCGGGTTTGGTAATTCGGAAGATCTTGCGAAGGCGCGGATCATATTTGACCTGTGCATCATTCTTCGTTAGCTTGAGGCCAGTGTAATCCGGTCTGGGTATATCGACTACATAAACTTTGTATGCCATCGGTGGATGCGATGCGATACTTGCGTCGATCTCAGTGCATGGTATATGTGCAGGTGCCGGTTTGAATGGTAGACTCAGTATCTGCCGCAGATCCACATCGGATTTGACACGCAGATCTGTGTCACCAAAATCACCAGACTGGAAACGTTGTCGGAAATCCATGTCTTGTCGTCTGAGATCTTGATCCGCTCTCGTACGAAGATCGGTGTCCATGTTAGCGTCTACCGCAGTGATACCGGAACTGTAGATGCTCGTTTCTAGCCTGAGAGGCTTCTGCTCTCTCTTCACATCAGAAGATATGCTAGGACTGCTCGGTTTCTGCTCAACTTCTCGACGTTGCCTTGGGTCCCGAGACATTCGTGGATCCCTGGATACAGACATTGTTGATGAACTCGGACCCGGTGACCGCCTCGGACTTGACGATGTCTCGCTATCCGTCTTTATATCTTGCATTAATTTAATCTTGGACACCTCTTGATTCGAGTTTGCCGTTTGCTGCGTCTTGTTGTTTGTAGAACTCTGAGCCTTCAGAGTAGAGAGCAACTTAGATACCTCGGCACTGATATCAATCTTGCTCAGATCACCTAGTTTGTCCACAATAGCGGCTGGTTGAGGTACATTGGATATAGATGTCGCAGACTGGAAGTTCTCTTTAATAACAACATTCTGAGTCTTCTCGGTGGATTCAATTTCGTCTTTCGAACTATCCACTATGGTAAGATTACCTCCCTCGTCATCATCATCATCGTCGTCTTCGTCATCTGAATACCAATCTTCGATTATTTGATCGGTATTAGGTACATCGGACTCATTATCCATGTTTTTCAAACTGTCCTGAGCCGCGCGTTGCTGCTGTTGTATTCGCAAAAACAATTCTTGCGCCTTTTTTGGTAAGCGAGGCGGCATTGTCTCATGAACTTCTATACATGAAGAAATGAGATGTTCACCTGTTAAACACAGATATAATTGTTTTTTTCAATTATCTATATGTACATAGTATTTGATATGAATTATATTAATAACAATGAAGATTAAAACCAATAAATAGAGTGTCTCACAACTACCAACTTTTCTTTTAAGAATGTATTTTTGAGATAATTTTAGTGTAATTTTGAGACGAAGATCCTAAATACAAAAATGTCGAAGCTACAATAATTTTTGAATTATAATTGGTTAAAGATAGTGTGTAATTCGAAAACTATTATAGAATGTTCAAAAGAATCCAAAAATAATAATAGAGACTATAAAAATAAAATAGTTTTTAAGCATTTAAAGTTGGGTTATAATTCAAAAAATTATCGTAGTTCGACATTTCTGTATTAGGATTTTCATCTCAAAATTACCTCAAGAATATGTCCTCAAAAGGAAATGCGGTAGTTGTGAGACACCCTGTATAAAATATCAATTAGTAAAAAAATATAGATAAACATTATCAAATATCTTATATATATATATTAAATATAAAAAAATTAAAAGAAGTTAAAAATAAGATAAGCCATTCTTACTTTGTTCGCTACTGTAAAGTTTTCCCCTTTCCTTATCCTCATCTTCAGTTGGCACTTCGATAACGAGTTCCGATTCCTCATCTTGATCACTTTCGTCGTCAAGTTTATTTTTAGTAAGACTTGCTACTTTATCAGCTATACTAAAGACAAGTGGTGGCGATTTCTTTGCATTTAATAACTGCCTCAAATCAATATCTTTCCTTTTTCTCAACTGTAAATATAGATAATATAAGTTTCATAATAACTGTGCTAATATTATAATTTTTAATTCAAATTTAGTTGTAAACGTAATTCATAATAATAATATAAATCATGATATAAATTTGCGCAATAAATAAGTTTAAATTATATACCTCATCAGATATATTTGTTTCTTCTACGGTCTTCAGATGATCTTCTTTTGTTTTTTCAAGAGTTTTGTTTGATTCTGCAGTTCTTTCGCTATAGAAATCTACAGGCGGTGCAGCAATTTGTGTCTGTTGAGTGGCTAAACCTAATGCCGCGTTCGGAAGTTGAAGTCCAAGTTCATTTGCTGACTGCATTAGCATAATCTGCTCGTAAGGAACTCTGTCCTCATCTGATCCCCATCGCGTCTTTTTTCCAGAAGGCTTTCTTTCCCTTACATTAGTCTTTTGCTGATTTGTTTGGTCTTCTGTTTAATAATTACGATTTTAGTATAAGAATTAAAATAAATAAAAAAATATCACAATATTTTGTAAAAATTGATTAATTTCCATTTATTAAAAAAGAGGATTACCTTTCTCTTCTTTTTCATCAGCCTTTTCTACAGGTACTGATAAATTCAATTCGAAGAGACTAGGAATCTTTTGATTTGTTGTATCTTGACCTTGTGCTAGAGAACGCGCTGTATTATTTATCATTAATACTGCACCTTCTCTACTTAACCTTGGAAAATCACCAAGAATTTCCTTTGGTGCAGTTTCCAAGTGTTTTAAAAGAATACCTTTTATCTGAAAAATAAATCACAAAATGATTCAAATATAATTACTTTCAGTAATAAATTTAGTGTAACTCGTTTAATTTTTTATTAGTATCAAATTTTTTCATTTATAGCTCACATATTGACATTATAATATTTTTTTTGTAAATTAATACATATTATGATGTTATAAAATTACAATATACCTGTTCGTTTAAAGGCTGATGAGAAAATTTACAGTTGTCGCCCTGACTGCACTTTAAACCTGTGTGGAAGAACTTGCAAGGAAAATCATGATGCATGTAGAGGCACTTGTCTCGTTTTGCACAACAATCCATAAGGTAGAACTTGCACAATTCCATCTTTCTAGGTGGCAAAGCGTTGTGCGAATATGGACAATCATCCCCCCTGTGACACTTTCCTTGCATATAATATA